TCCCCACGCAAGGCTTCGACCGAAAGCCACCTTCGAGAGCCCTTAGCAGTACCTCTAAGGCACTCAGCTCTCAGTACCTGAGCTTCTATAAGGTGCTACTGTACTAACTAACGAGCACACCGTTCACTAAAATACCATGGGTGAGTGAAGAATTGGTTTCAACTATCTTCAGATCCATCAGTGGATCCTATCATGCAGGGGAGGGGGAAAGAAAACAGTGGAATCTCCTCTCCCCTTTCCTTTTTAGGGCCGCAGCAAGGAACTGCCATAGCCTGTACTGTGGATTACACAGCAAAAACGCTATTTTGGACCCCAAGTATCTACCCGGTTCCCTGGAGTGTGGAAAGAGATACATTGGTGGCATTTCTTCTGAAACAAAACAAATCATAAACTAACAAAAAAACCCAAAACCAACCAATGGCTGTAATCACCTCTCTACCATGCAACTAAAAAGCGTGGACATGGGCAGAAATGCCCCCAGAGCTTTGCAAGAGCAAAGACACAGAATTATGGTTTCCCAGATCCCAGTGTTTGATTGTGACCCTGCCTCAGGGCTACCTTCCTGTAACCTCTATTAACAGCAGGAAGCTCATTTGAAAAAAAAAAAACAAACTTCAGGGTATGTCACGCATTTTTGAGGTCAGTCCAGTGAAAGTATGTAATAAGGATAATACTGCAGCAGTATTAAAGACACGAGGCATTTCTAGGGTAAATAACACTATAGTTTTGGAGAACATGATTTATGGATACCTTCTTGGAGTTTATTTTTTTGGTGATGTTCGTTGTGTCATTTTCACACAAAAATAGCTCTTTGGGAAAATGTCAATGAGACTCTTCATAGGCATTTTCAGACTATTACATAAGAAGATGGCACACATCCTTCCCACAGAAATTAAATTGGTGTTCAAGGGGTAACGCCAATATTTCAACCTCCTGAAGTAAAAGATGAAGTTAACTTCACCTACCTACGCAGTCACGAAAGCTGGATGGTATGGTACAGCATTTCGCTGATGCATTTATGATTCTTAGGGATCTGACAGACAACCTCCGGGTAATCTTGTAGTGTTAAAATGCTACTGTCCCTACCCTTCCAGCCCCCTGCTCTGCCAGAGATAACGACTCCTGTAGCAGAAGCAACAGAAGACGATGCACTGCAGTTCCCTCTGCCCTAAGAGACCAGAGGGCAGGGCTCAGTTAGGTATTGCAGATGCTCCAGTTCTCAGCCTGGTATCTTAGCAAAACGCAGGGGACTTTGAACTGGAGTTTCTGAGGCACAGGCACCTGCTCCCAGCTGCTACCTCCTTTCCAGGCAGAGTAGCCTCTGATTAAAAAAGAAAAAACCAAACAAAAAGACCCCACACACAAAAAACCTCCTGAACTCCAACCAACCAGTGAAGGAACTAAGAGCAACTCATCTCCCAGGCTCTTAACAGCCAAATCCAAGTAGGGTATTTCAGAATGACGATTCTCAGAGTGTAAATTACCATATTAAGTAAGACTGCCAAACCACTTTTGAAGGGGGCAATTTGGAAAAGTCCTCAGTGCTATTAATGTGAGCACTGAATAGGGCTGTTCATGGGTGCTATTACCTGTAGTATGTGAACTGAAGCTAATGCTCTTCAGAGGAGAAAATACAGCCATTAACAATTCAAAGATTTCCTCATTGCTTTTGCACACATTGATCTATTTCCTGCTATTAAAAACCAAACAAATAAAAACCCACAAACAAGGCAAAAATATTTACTAGATGCTATTGTCCTGTGAAGACAGACTTGCAGCCCAAACCTGGCAATAAAACTCTAAGCACTAATCCCTGGGAAACAGTCCCAGGTACCAGAGAATCCCAAAGACGAAAAGCTTCTGAGCAAAGGGCTCTTCACACGGAATTGTCAGAGAAAAAGATCCTTCATGCTCCTGTATCCCAATTTCCCCTAGTTACCACAGCAGCCAACTGTAAGTAAAGCAGGCAGATTGGGTCTGACAAGCACATGATATTCATGCTTTCAGAGAATGTCGTGTTAATATTTGCACCGTAGATGGTGTATGGGAAAGTTAGACTGCCGTGACCTTGGAGAGAAAAAGCTTAGGTTGTCTATCTTGGAAAGTCGTATCCCTAAAGAAAAATTTGTTCATTCCCCTACACCTGTAATCTTAACTCCCTCAGATGGATTCTGAGGGGATCTGCCAACTTCTTACCTAATTTCACCTCCGTTCAGCTACCAGTGCAACTGAACTGTCACGGCAGAGGAAACCCGAGCAGCTACAGCCGCACCACTGTGCGCGGGTCTTGCAGTGACACCTCCCAGATTTGCTTCACAGTAGCCCGACCCTGGGCTGCCCACTGTTCTGGGCAGCAAAAAGCTGTGCAACTAAACACACACAAGCTAACTCCATTACAGCTCCTCCTGAAAGCAGAGGAGAAGCCTGTGTTTTTCGCTCCACTTGTGGCACAGCTCGAAAACAAAACAAAACAAAAAACCCCAACCAACCAAATGAGACCCCAGCACCCCCACCCCAGCCCCAAACACCCCACATGCAAATTCAGTCGGGTATCAAAATGCCCTGTGAAAACGTGTAAGTGTTCTTAGTCAGAACCAATCTTTCTCTAGATTTACATAGACCCCCCTCCTCCCTTTTGCCAGTCAAAACAATGATTTGGCAATCTAACTCCTGGCTATAATTCATATATACATACACATGAATTGTACATACTCCTTACTTCTCTTCCCGCCCCCTCCCTTATATTTTGTAGGAAGCCATTCTAGGCACTGGGAGCAGATGATCATCTCCTCTTCCAAAAGAAGAACCTTACTGCTGGGGCTTCTCCAGTCCAAATGGTTAGGAATCCAATACACAACAATCTTGCAGAAATCAGCTGCCAGATTTATTATTCTACCTGAAAACCCCAAACAAAAAAAAAAAAAAACCCAAACAAACAAAAAGTGGAATAAAAACAGACTTTAAATAAACCTCTTAGGTACATTTTAAAAAGGGTTAATCAGTTCAGTGAAAGACTTTTATATCTTCTGCTGAGAGATCATGTAATGTTGGTCTGATTGCTTGCTTTGTTCAGTGAGTCACTACCGTATACAGATATATATATATATTTCTTCTTAAATATTACACAGTTGATGCATTTTTCCTCTTTTTTTTTTCCTTTTTTTTTTTTTTCTTTTTTTTGTCCAGCCCCTTTCCCAAATACCCACATCCTGCCACAGGCAAGAGGCGCTCCGTACTGACATTAAAGAACCAAAACCAATCCAAGGACTTTTCATCAAAGCATGTTTCATTTGAACCTTATTTCAATGGAAACTACATTTTTTTTAAACAGTCTTACTCAACCTTTTCCCTTTGCTTTTTGCTAATTCTGCAATTTTAGACTTCTGATCCTGGGTTCATCACTGAAAATTTAAGTGCCATAGAGACTTCGGGATGACAGAATTAGGTGACATATTAAGGCGTATACACACTCCACAAAATATGTTGTCTTATGGATCTAAGTAAACTAAATACCAGCCCAAATGTTTTTTAAACACATGTGGATTCTAGTGACCACTGCTTCTTTACTTTTTGATTAATTGCATATTAAAATATTCATAGCTTAACTAGTGTCTTACTGACAAAGGATGGAAAATTAACCCACCACCTAGGATTGTCTTTGAAATCCATCCACTACGATGAAAATTATTCTTGTTGTTTTATGGTTATGCATTCATTTTCCTCCTGCTTCTCAGGAACAGAGGAAAATGAGGTCTTCCATAGAAAACCTATTTAAATTTCACTGGGCAAAAAAAGAAATCCAGATCCTAACCCCTCCTCCCCCCTTCAAACTAGGAAATACTGTATTTCAGAAAAGGTGCTCATGAGTATTTAAAACTTTGGGAGTTTTGTCAGGGCTTTTTTTTTTTTTTTTTTTTTTTTTTTTTTTACATACAGAATAGTGTGTGTGGCTTGTGTTCAAGATTACCCCTCTCAAAAAAAATAAAACAATTTGAAAAAATAGCAACAACAAAAAAAACCCCTCAAAATTTAAATTGTCTTCCGAGCATATCTGATCACATTTACATTTAGTGTCCAAAGCAATTTGATTGGTAACATCAGTGCCAGCACTACAACGTCATACAGCGACTTCATGGTATTCTTTGACAGTTTGTCCAAGTCTCTGTTCCACCGAAAACTACAAAAGGTTCTGCAGAGCTTTCCTTAGCAAGCTGAAGCTTACTAGTCATTTGTGGATGCGCATAAAAGCTGCTTATAGCACAGCTATGGCGTAAGCTATTTTCTAAGCAATAAATGGTTCAAGTCATCTATTTTGTCCTGAAATGCTACCTGTAGTTACAGCATTGCTTATAAATGGTCATAGTAAATTCAGCATCAAAGAGAATATTACAGAAAAAGACAGCAGCAGAAGCATTAGCATTATCTAGTATTTATATATGTTATCAACATAACACAGCAGTAAAAGGTTTAAATGCATATTAATGGGTACCGTGTCTAAAAATTACTAAAGTACCTATTTAGTGTATTGGATATTTTTCTCAAGGAGTGCTTGCTGTGTCTAAACAGCATAATTAGATATGTGACTTAGTACAGTTAATTCCTATTGATTAAATAACTTATTTATGTACCAAAGGAAATGGAAGGATACAAAATGTTTTCTCCTTCCCGATCATGATCCTGTATTTAATGCTGACATGATCATCAGAAAGCCTACCATGTGTAATTACTGCCTTCAAATGGATCTTGAAAGGTCTAAACCATAGCATGGTCCATATATGTATAGCAACATGGCACCAGACACGGCATGCAGCTTGCAGGCTAAAGTCAGGGGTTTTGCTGCTTGGTCACTGTACTTATGGCCACTCTGTCATTAAACAGGACTTTTTTTTGAGGCCACACCAAAAAAAAAAAAAAAGAAAGAAAAAAAAGAAAAAGGAAAAACTCTTGAGACATCTGCTTCTTTTCAGAGGCAAGGTGCAAGGTCTGCCACTGCAAGCTTCTAAATTAAATGCTGCGGTGTATGCTTTGCTTCTCTTTCATAACTGCAGAAAGACAATTAAGAATGGCAAGAAACAAATGCCCTAGGCATGCTGTGCTGATGTCATCATCAAGTGGTTATTTTGCACAATGAGAATTAACTGTACTACAGATACCCAGAGAAAATGTACAATATCTTATGCTGATATGAAACAAAACAGACATGATATAGCTTTCTTGTACTTAAAACCTGTACGATCCCTTCCCAAACTTAAGTAAAAAGCAAACCCCCCCTTTTCCTCCTGTTACACAGAATAACGTTTAGGTTCCAACCCCCGCCCCCCCTTCAAATAAAGTGCGCTGTCCATGGCAGACCATAGGAGTAATGCAACAGGAAAAGCCCCTTTTAGTGTACTATTTAAAAAACAAACTGAAGTCGATGCAGCTTTCCTCTGGGTCTTGTGAAAGAGGAGAAGCTTAAGAGAGGGGGGAAAAATCCCCTTCACTGTCACTGCTGTTAATAGACATAGCCTTCGTTATAGGGGTGGGTGTTGCAGCAGCCACCGTCCTGCATGTAGACCATGCTCTCATCGAAGTGGGACAGAGGCACAGTGTCCTCCTCATTGATGTGGCGCTCCATGTCAGTCTTCAGTAAGGGGCGCTGGTTGTCCGGAAAAGCCATGGAGAAAAGCGCTTCGGGGTCGCAAACAAACTTGTAGACGTATCTTTCTCCAGCCACCTTAGGACAACGGAAGAGAGAAAGGGTGCAGCGTAAGGCCTCGTGGTTTTGCAACTCCAAGTTCAACACTCTTGTGAAGAACTCACCTTCGTTACGCAATTAATAATGCAACAGCAGAACGCTCTTGATTTTGCCACACGTGATATCTTGTTGGAAGATGGACTAGGTGTTCTACTTCCAAACATTTGTTTGCGATCATTTCCTATGCTTAACCACAAATGGAATTGTTCTTATTGGAAAAGGTAAACAATTGTCACTACAAGTGGCAAAATAAAACAACTAAGTCCAACACTCTGTGTGCAAAGTGGAAAAAAGAATCACATTGCGTGATAGAGATCTGAATTTCACTTTACACAGATTGATTCATACTTAAGTATAAAAGCACTTAAGTTATAGTGCATGCTGATTGTACAGGCACAGCGTAAGCAAATACGTAGGCTAATATGTACTTAGCAATTGCTCATGCAAAGCTGGGACATTTGGATTTGCTTACGGAGGGGCAATTTGTCCAAAGACCCTAAAATTTTCCCTTATTCAGAAATAGCACTAAATGTCTGTTCTTCATCTTCCTAAAAGCTAAAGAATGATAAAAACAATACAGAATTGTTTTCTTATTAAAAAAAAAAAAAGGCAACATAACCATCATTAGTTTTTAACATATACTAAGTGGCCAGATAGGGTAATCCCAGGGCAAACCTCAAACACTGCTATGCCAGAAAAATAAGCATACAAACTAAGCTTTAAAAATGTTTGTTAAATACATTCTTGTAGAGAATAAAGTAGTAGCTTAAGAGGTAGCAAGCTAGCTGTCAGAAGTACTTGTAAACTTTCCTTATTAAATGGATGTGTGGGTTGGGCAGCATTATCAGCCTTATGGTACTCCCAGCCCCAGCTTTTCGGCTTGTTCCACTCTCTTTGCTACTTACTCTTGCCGCTGTGCTGCCTTTGAACTGGTCCGGCACAACGGCCTCTGCAGCTGAGCTGTAACCCGCGGCGAGGAACTCCTCTGCCTGAAGCACACCCAGCAGAATCAAGCGTTCCTGCTCCCCCCTGACGGGACCCAGTCTCCAGCCCACTTCACGCAGACCGGGCGCACAGCTGCCTGACACACCGGTGGACGAGGCAGTGTGCTGCTGGAGCGCCCCAAGTCGCTACCAGCCCGGATCGTTCTCCAAGTTAACTCCCGGACAGTGCTAAAGGAGAACGCTACAGCGATCCCGTGACCAAAGCAGAAGAACTTGCAACGGGCAACTCCAAACGGAGACCTCACAAAACCTATCGGAAAAGCTGACCAGTAACGTGAGCCGAGGGCTTTGGTTCCATTCATAGAATTGGCAAATGGCAGGTTTAAACACGTTAAGTCATCACAGGTCACAACACTAATGTGAAAAGATATGGAACAAGTTTTACAGCACAAGGTGTTCACTATGATCTTTGGTCACACCTGCCAGTTTTGTAGATGCAGCAGACAGGACTCTCCCACTGATTTATCAGTCAATCTACATAGTACCACATAGCAAGATTTAAAAACATACACGTAAATCGGCAGGCCACGACAGAAGGATGGGTTGAATACTGTCAGCAAGACCAGACTGTTATATATAAATTATTTTTAAATATTTCTCATAATTCAGCCTATTATAAAATATTAAATCCCACTTAAAAATGGTATTATTACAACACTTTTGGTAAAATATTAAAGTATTTGGTATGTTAATAGGTATCATTTTTCTCCCCTACCTTGCACTAACCGAAGTACCCAAGCGCTGGGCAGCTAATTTAGATCTGCAAAACATTATTCATACTGTACTCCACTGTTTGCCTTTCCCAGGTGCCAGGAAGCTGTTTTGGATATTTTTGAATGTTACCTCTTTCCCGATAATCATGATGTGCATTGTGTGAACTAAAACCACAGACATTTTTTACATAGAAAAAAATATCTTTATGCATATACTGGACCTGGTAAGTGAAAAAGCTTAGTGTTTGCCTTAATAGATGGAAAACCTACCTAAACAATACAGCTGCAAGTACTTCTCATAAACTGACTTATGGATTAACATGCAACGCTCGACTGACATCTAATACAAAGTTAGCAACTCACCTTTTGCATGATTCCCTTTTCATAATAATAGCGAAGTGATCGGCTAAGTTTATCATAGTTCATAGCTGGCCTATTTTTCTGAATCCCCCAACGACGTGCCACCTGCCATAAAAATGGATTAGCATCGATTTGTTAAATGCATTTAACAAGCAGATCTTATCATCAGATACTTTATTTGGGGATGGAGGAGGGGGAACCCTGCAGGTGGAGCACATAAACAGAAGAGAAAAGGTTGCCATGACCTGAATTTCCCATGTACTACTATGATTTTTAATTTGACACACAGTCATCCATTAAACTTGAAGCAGACTTAGTTATATGCAAATGTGGTGGAGGATTGGAGTTTTTTTGTTTTTAATAAAGAAAACCAATGAAAAAATAAATCCATATAATCAAATGATAGACAAAAAATATTTATCAAGTTCCACCAGAATCAATTATCCACAGTATCAAACTTAAGAAAAGTTTGATACTGTGGGTAATCAGACTATTCCTGTGTTTTCCTTGCTGTCAGAAGACAAAGTTATATTAAACACACATGCATACACACTTAGTTCAAGAACTAATACAGAATGTACTTGGAATGACAGCGAAGTTGAGATTATTAGGAGATACAAGTCAAAAGCCAACTCCCAGTCTTAAATTAATACTTCAGCAAAGAAAATGAATTATCAGAGGAGACAGGGTAATCGCTTGGAAGAACTATATGGTAGTATGAAGAATGGGACAGAAATTTTGTAGTTGAAATTGTATAATTTCCTGTAAAAAATAATAATAAAAAGGGAGTTGTAAGCAACTTGTGACACCATTCCATAGAGAACAATATGCCTTCTGCTCTGACTTAGGATTTCTACTTGCCTTTACACTTCCTGTTTTATTGCCAACGGTGGTTCTAGACAAAGAGACCTTTTGTTTAAAGAGCTTAACTGCTTATTCCCCACCTGAAATCATAATCGGCTGTTGGTGACATTTCAATTACTGGCTGTACAAATTACTATCATGTCACCAGAGGGAAAAAAAAGTCAGAGCTGATGAACTCTTTAAAGCACATTTTATAAAAACGTTTGAGAGGTGCATATGCATACAGCTCTGGAAAAAGGCGAGAGTAGCCAAGCAGCTTCTCTGCAGACTGCTCTAAGCAACTTTCCCATAGGTGTCCGGAGCCTTTTGATGCAAACCATAGACAACATGCAGCACTGAAAATTGAAAGGGACTAAATAACAACAGCAAAATCCATGACTTTGATCTCCATCTGGACAATAATTTTTAGATTTTCTTTTTAAAGCATTATTTCCTTTCAGTGGTGCAGCTTTTCAGGCTTATGTAAATTATCATGGCTCTGCTAACTTCAGCTATGTTATAGCTGTATTGAAACATACCTCCAATCATGTCAATTTTTTCCAGCTGTAGATTTGGCCTAGATGCATAACCTTGATTCGCCTATTCATCTTTGTAACACATGCCTACATCACTCTCTGTTTACTCCTGCCAAGTTTTTTTCTGCATTAATCAGAGTCCTAAAAGTCCCCAACGTAACAGGCTTGCATAATAAATAAACACACAGCAAAGATAACTACAACAAAATAATGGTTGAGCATATGCTATATTGTGTAACATTCTGACATTCCCAAATAAGCAAGCAGGTCCAGAAGTAGTCTTGGTAAGCGAGTCTTCCTGTCCCTGAACTGCACAGGGTTTATCAAGTTTTGCTCTGTGGAAGGGATTAGGGCTTTTAGCCTTCCACCCCACCTTCCTGCTACAACAGAAATGGACCTACACCCAATTCTTAGGCTCCACAGTTCACAGTTACCTACTTTCTGAATGAACTATGCTGCTCTACAAGTTAATACATATTAATTTTTGTTGTTACTCTTTCTACAAGTGCATAAACCTCCAGAAAGGGATGGGATGGAAAGGTTGCAGACTTGCCAGCAAAGTTTCCGTATCAAATTGACTGAGGCTGTTCTATGGTCAAATCCTCAGATGCAGAATGCCAGGATCTGCCATGGTGACTATCACTAGCGTGAGGGACGCTCGCTCGGGCGAATGAGAACCAGCACACGGGGCCTCGCAGAAAGCCTGCCCCTTAGCCAGACCACATCGGCAAAGAAAGGGACATTAGTCCTTTCGCCTTCCCCAACTACTCTATCATCCCCTTAGGGCTGTTGGCAGACGATGTAACTTAAACGCAAGAAAGCTTTCAGATTGCTTATGCCAGCAGATGGATGGAAAATGGCAGAAATAGCTGGTGGAACGCAGAAGCAGCCCTACACCCCCAAACCTTCCTACTCAGCTCTAACTCAGAGGGAATCCTGATGGAAAATTTGCTGTGGTCTCCTCTATTACCCAACCCTGTCCAAGGGGCAAAAAAGTAAACCAGAATGATATTGTCCTTTGACAACCCTAATCAAATCATCCACATCAGCATCACAATAAAATTCAAGCACACTAGATTTTCCAACAGTTTCCATGGCTGCTTAGAACACAGGATAGATTATTTAATGTTACCTAGTCCAAAAAAGTTTATGTAATAAAATGTTAAATTTATTCCTGTTTATCACACAAGTGAACTAAGTCATGCTTCAGCAAATGTTCATGAATACAAGCAATTTTATCTGCCCCACGAGTCCTTCATGGTTCAGGGGAACTGTGCATGTGCATGAGTGTTTGCAAGCCTCGGATCTAAGCGTGCACTAAACAATCTAATGATACAGATAAGCAGAAGACTCTGAAGAAGACTCTAAACGGGGGTTCACATAAATTGATGGGATTTTACTGCCTAATGATTTCAACCTCCTCCTTTGACATGTGTCAGACTTGGGGTCTTTCACTGTACAGCCTGTAAGTTCCAAGTTCTCACATTTCACACTGAAGAACAGTTGGTGTTGAAAGACTATTCAGGGGTAAGTTTTCAAAGGATTTTGGAATATAGCTCTATCCATGAAGTGGTTCTGAAAAATCTGGGCCCCACAATTAATGTTGAGTATTTCGTAACTCTAGTACTTACAATATTTTCATTATTTTGTGGGACTAGGAAATTAAGTCTATGCTTAACCACACCTCTGCCCTAACTGAAGCACTTCCCTTGCCAGTCCTTTCTGTCACCCTTTTTAAAGTGCAAAATATTGAAGGAAAACAAGGCCTAAGTCCAAAGGAGCACTATTACATTTGCAGGATGCGGCAGCGATTGTCAGGGCACACTGTCTAACCCACCTCCTCCGGCTCAATCAGCTTGAATTCCATGCCTCGGCCAGTCCACGCTATGAAGTGAGAGTTTGATGGGTCATCAAGAAGAGCTACCAAGAACTGCCACAGCTGAAGCGAGCCTCGCCGTTGATACGTGGGTCCCTCACGGTACATACCTGGCTCCTGTTTGACGTCACCTGCACAGAAAAGCAACAACATTAGATTAGCAATGCGTAAGAAGCATCAATACTTGATTTGTCAGATAAACTGGCAAAGCAGTCATTAGGGTTAATGAAACAGAGGGAAAGAATTCTTACCACCCAGCCATCCACAAATGCAACATTCCCCTGTCTGCTGTTAATTGTAAACACTCTTACAGTAACATATTCATATAACAAAACGTACCTAAATTCAGTCACGGCTTATGGAAGTCTCCCCAAGCCTATCCCCATTTACTTCTTATACATGCAAATCTCGCTTGCGAACGGTTTTGCACTATCCTCTATCTGAAAGAGCATGAACTATTTTTTTAAGCAACTCTGAATCTGAAGAACTGCATTTGTGTACTATGCTTTGCACAAGTCCCAGTTTTGGAAATGTAATGTATGCCTCATAAAGCTGCAAAACCCTATTGAGTGAAACTTCTTTTGCATGCAAATGCTTCTAAGGAAAATTTGACAAAGTATTTGACTTGGACTTAAACAGCATGTGCTTTATGTATAGGTATGCAAATCCTGTAGATATGCGAGTTCCTCTGTGGCATATTGGACTTACATATAAGCACATATTACTTTTACTCATATCTACATATTAGATTAGTATTCTCCCTGAAAAGCAGTAAGTTAATTTTTCTAAAATTTCAAATCCAGAAGAACCTTTTAAAAAACAGTAATAATATTCTGCTAGCTGTTCCACAAACTGACAGTGAAAGATCATCCAGCTACATCCATACTGTGTCTCTGTTGTTTTTAAATCGTATGCATTCTAAACAACTCATGCAAACAACAACAGCTGAAAGGTCTGATGCTGAAGCAGACAGTATTTTTTTCTGCACACAATGACAGCAATCCTTGATACGCTGGTAAAATTCCTCCATTCAACTACCAGAACAGCAATACTCTCCAATAAGCTGTGCGACCTGTTTAATACAGAAAGCCAGGACTTCACATTGAACCACAACATTAGGATACTCTGATGGCCATTACAGAATGGCTCCGTGTAGTAAAAGTAAGAATAATATTAAAAATGGAGCACTTCCTTTTGTAATCAGGAAAGAAAACTGAGTCAATAGCTATGGAAAACAAATAAATCAACACAAGGCTTTTGGTTTATGTGAGGTTCAAGTTCCAGTCCTGAAAGGCCCTTTTTTTCCCTCAAGGACAGGATTATTTTTTTTTAATGATAGCTGAGCAATGCACAAGTCTCGAGTGCAGTATTACAGAGGGTCAGATTATTCGCCTGTGCTGATCTCCGATTTCAAACAAAGCGGCTGAGAATCTACTTCTGAAACGTCAAGACTAGCCCTGGGCTTACCCCACTTTTGTTTTATGGGCCAAAACATGATGACACATCCGCTATTTTTTCCTCGAAAGTCATAATGCTGCAATACACCTATCTGTATCACATCAAATCTTCTAGTGTACAAGGTGTTCTCTCAATAGACAATCATAGAAGCTAGTAGCAGGCTGCTTGCTTTGAAAGCACGCAAGTATTTCCAAACATTTCTTTCTTTTACTTTATTTGTATTTCTTTTCCATTTTCATTCCCTCCCCTATACAAAACCCAAACAAAGAGGATTTTCACGAAAGACACAGACAAACACTACTCCTGAAGAGTTTTAACTTCATGTAGTACAGAGTCTGATCCCATTCCCATAAATGTGAATATGAATTTGCCACTGATACTGAAAACAAATCAGGTCCACAATCATTTCTGGGGACAAAAAAAGGCCTGACACAATGTGCTTCGGAAAGGGGCGGGGGGGCGGGGGGAGGCAGTCTATGTTCCACAGCCAGGGTATAAAGTAGACTTTCAACGCATCACCCATTCAGTGAACGTGTCAATACAGTGACAGTGCAATGCTGGATTAAGCAATCTTCAGTTAGGCCTAGCATTATTTAAAATCCTCTATTTATTTCTTGCTATTCCTTACTAACCCTGGAGTGCACATGGTGCCTCCGTTGGAGGAATGTGCCATTCTTTGGGTTATTTTCATTTCAGAGCCTCCCGTTCTTCAGCAAACACAACAAATGCTGCTAGACATGCAACAATTTTGTAATCCATGTAAGTGATTCTCAAGGGAAAACAAACAAAGTAAAGCAGGAGAGAAACCCCAGGAGTTGTCCAGCTCTACTTTTAGCTATGGTCAGAGAGCTGTTCACAAGTTTATCAGTAAGTAGATAGATTAGATAATCTTTCCTGCTAAAATAAATAAAGCTGGACATACATACACTAACACAAAGAAGCCACTCTAGCAAATAGTCTCCAACTGGTCTCCAAATTAGTTCCCAAAGCTGCAGACTAACAGAGTCACTGGCAAGAAACACTGAGTCCATCTACTTTGTCTATAATGAAATAAATCAGAAATCAACTGAGTTACACCAGGCGACTGATTTTACATCAGAGTAACTGAGGATAATTTGAGCAATTCATTTTAATTGACCTCGGAATCCCTCTCGAAAAAAAAATCTGTTGTAATGGGTAGTGTTGTGAAAAGATCATTGATTTGTTATCAATCCCACCGAAAAATAAACTACTAGTACAATGTTTAACATGGTGCAAATACAGTGACACAAATGCAAAAACGTCCTATATACTCACTCACCACTATTCATCACTTCACAGACAGAGACACAAGAGGCCTAACCCTCAGTAAAACCAAAGCTGCTGCTTTCACTGCCATTTTGTTAATTATAAGAACAGCTTTCATTAAAATCTCAAACAACAAGCGGTATGTGATCATCAGTGCAATGGAAATCCTCCTATTACTTCTCAACAGTACAGGAACCGAGCTCCTCGGCCGCAACTCTTGATACAGCATCTTTTGCTGGCAGAGGCCGAACAACATCCTATTGAAAAGGAGACTTTGGTTTCAAGAGACAAAGGTCAGCTTTGGTTGGGCGCACCGCAAATGGTGTGTTAAGGAATCCTAAATTGGAACGTTACCAAGCGTTTTTGATCAGCAACAGAGAGAAGTCCCTCATCTCTTCCTTTTTCATCTCCCCACACAAGAAAAAGAAAGCGAGATGTGTCATACATACCGTCAAACTTCTCTGGAACAACGCAAGTGTCATCATAAAATTGCCTAGGTCCCTTTTCATACATGCAGCCTGTAAGTTAACAAGAGAGAGGTGTTTATATAATAGATGCATGGAGAAAGAAGAGATCATAGGCTTAATGCCAGAGGGAACACTAAGTCATAGAGGAATCAGATTATTAATATCCCACATCCTTTACACACCGCCCAATCGCAACATTTTGGCCTCAGTACAGGGGTGTTTAATTAATGTGTGCATTCCCAAAAGACTGTTAATCTCCACCTGCAAAAATGAAAAAGCACCCATTTTTCTCTATGATTTATCCCAAAATGTTTGTCTCATTTCCTGTTTGAACTAGCACAGCTTTGACTTTCAACCATTAGTTCCCGTGGGCCTTCTCCCTGCGAGACCAAGAAAGTCCTATTCGGTATTTCCTCCCCACACTCACAGAAGTCACCCCGCTTGATACTTCTCCCAATTAAGATCATTCTGTAAAATTTTATTTTTATCGTTAAAATACACTCTCTACAATCCTGCATTCTTTCTAGCACTCTTTTCTGCACACACTCCTACTGTTGAGTATTATTTTAATGTTTTGCTTAACCAGAACCATATTGCATGCCAGTATCGGCCTCACCGGTGCTACTTAGTGAGATAAAACATCTCCTCTCCTGCTTCCCTATGGCCCTCCTTTTGACTGTGCAAATATTACAGAAGGCCTTTTTGCCATACAGTTGCTATGTTTGGTTGGGCTGGTTTTTGCACTGTGAAGCTGAGGAGGAGGCGGCCCATCAATTAATTTTTTCCAATATACCATTTCCCGGTTCCATAGGCCTGGTCTACATTCAGCATATTAAAAAAACGTTTTATTTAATGTGCCCAGATTACCAAACAATTCAAATTGCTTTGTGCAACTACCCTGTCCTGCCCGTTATTTACCACTCTGCCTAGCTTTGTGTCATAAAGTTATCTATTAACTTTGTTCCGTATCTTTACTGAAAATGTTGAATAGCAACACTCCTGATATCAATTCCCACAGAACTGTAACAGAAACAATCCATTCAGAAATGATTGCCCAGTGACAGCCACTTTTAGATCTGTCAGTTGGCCAGGTCTTAATGTATTTAATGTGTACTTTATTGATACTGCTTTGTGCTAACTTCTTAATCAGAATGTAATGCAGTGGCAAACTGAATGCCATAAAAAGTCTAACTATATAATACAAGTTTCTTTATCAATCAAACTTTGAATCTCAACAAAGATTAGAATCAGATTTGACATGACCTTTATTCCATAAAATGGAAAAAATATTGACTGATTTCCAAATACAGAAAACAAATATTTATTGAACATCGCTGCTTTTTCTACGTCATTCGTAACAATTTTACCACCTCCAAGTACCTATGAGTGCATAACATGGCTAAGATTGTTTTTCCACTATCTAGGCTGTGATTAAAACCCAAAGCTGTTGACCTTAGCCCTGCAGTGGATTTTTCCCTGATTTCTCTCACCTCCCTTATCAAGCTTCTATACTTCATATAATTTCATATACCAAGACTGTTATACATTTTCATCTCTTGTTTCACCCTCCTTATTAAATACTACCTTTTATTTCTATTTTCTACCTTCATTCTACCCCAGAAGCAGCTGGGCTTTTAGCCAGACTTGTTATCTTTCCACTAGTGAATGAAGTCTTACTAGAGGACTTCGATTCATATATCTGTCTGAATTCTCATCAATCTCAAAATTTCCCTCATGCTTGTGAAATTTGCCCCTTGGAAGAAAAACAAATAAACCCTAAACAAACAGACAAAAAAATCATATACTGACAGGAAAGATACACCAAAGCAGGGGAGTGCAGGGTACAACCTCTCTTTCAGTGGTCATTTTTAATTAGTTCTGTTGCCCTTCTTATTTTTAATATATATAAAGTGCTTTTATTCAGAATTATTAATTTTGATAATGAACTAAGCTCTGCCCTACTGAAGTCACTGAGAGTTTTGGTATATATCATATGGCGCACAATTTGGGCCTAAGGAGCACCAAAACACTGCAAAAAATATAACAAAAGGAAAAGGCAAAAACCTTCACTAAATTTAAAGTATAGAATAGATTACTTAACAGTTAACTGAGCCTGTCACACCAATAGCCTGGAAAGTATCACTTGAGCGGAACGGGTGAAATGGACAAATTTTTAAGTGTCTCTGCCTTTCAACTGCTAGAGGCTCGAAAAGCAGAATGAGTAAATTCATAATAAAATTGCTTCTACCCTCATATCCTGTGGCACTATAGGAAGCTACAAGAAAATCAGTGCCTCAGAAACTCAAGACTTGGAAGGGAAAGAAAGACGATGCAAGTCTTCCCAGCAGCAGAATTAAACCAGTGAACCCCAAATTCCTTCAGGCTTTTTAATTTTTTACTTTTCTCTTGTACAAAAGCAATACATAATAGAAAACTTAACTTCTGTTCTGTTTGGGTGAGCCAGGAAGCCTTCTTGCCTCATGTAAATGGAATGGCAGCTAGGCACTTCTGAAAGGAGAAGACGACAATGCTAGTCAAAAGACTGTCCGGAGTTAAAAGCGTGCAGGTTATCAATGAGACAGGCTGCAGGCAGAAGAGCAACAAAAAGGATGCAAGTTACAGCGAGGGGGAACCTGTCAACACACAGTCAGCATTTCAGAGCAGCACGCACGAGGCATGGCAGAGGAGAAAATCATAATGGGAGATCATAATCGTAATCATAGATCCCACCTAACATAGGCACTTGAACTCAAATTCGTACTGTAATCAACTTTGCTAAAAGCTGACTCCCATGACAATTACAATTTAGACTATTCACAGACCAAAAAGTCCACACAAGACTTTACTAGTATTTTAAACCCTGTGCTTGTACATCAATCTTTGTAACTAATTCAACCTAACATTTTTAATCACTTACACAGAAAAGCCTGCCCACCACACTGGAGACAAACTCTACATTAATACAAGTAATGCCAGTGTGAATTTAGAGTAGGATATCGCTTTTTAGACTCTGGTTAAGGATTTGAAGGGTTAATGAAATTTTCTGCAATTGCTAAACATTTAATCTAGGAATTCAGATTCATCAATTTTACATCCTTAAACATGTACATCCTTAAACAAAAAAAGACATACATGCCCCTCCTCCAAATTAGTGCACACATTCTAAGTAATACAGACATTTATTTGCCATTCCCATCTCTACTCAAATCTGCAAGAAGAATGAGAGAAACCAAACAGAAATAGTGAAAACGGTGTTCTTTAAATGTCTTTCTATTTTTTCCCCGTCTTGCACAGTTTGCAAGTAGCCACATCCTGTGCACAGGGACTTGCAAACAGAAATACACCGTAAATGTTTGCCCTTCTAGACCATGTTTAACCCACTTCTTGGATATCAAAAGTCCTGCTTAACAAGTCTATTTGATCTTGTGATAAACTCCTACCCTAAGCTATGCAATCTGTTACCAGTAACTTGTAACTCTTTAAGAGATGCAAACAGAGGTCGAAAGAGCAGACATTATTTTTCCAACACTGCCTACAGACTCTTTCAGACTGTGATTCCAAATTTCACTGTTCACTGACTAGTGATGAGTATCAAAGATTTGGCAGGATAAGAAAATGAGGTTTTACACTGACTTCACAAAACAAGCGAAACACAGGGCAGTAATAATAAGTTTCCTCTAACAGTTCACGGTGTCTCTTGCACATCTGTGTCGAACTCTTCATTACCTCCTCTCTCGATGAAACGCTCAGTGCCTGCCTGCTCAGGCCTCGAGAATCTCTAACGTCTCAGGCAGCTATTCTGAGCAACCACAGGAACTGGTGATTCAGTGATCACACGAGTCAAGTATGGCTCTGTAGACTAGAACTCAAGGCTACAAGTAGTGGTTCACCTGCAAGGAATCACTCATGTTACCAAGATTGAATTTTAAGGAGAATGGAAAAATCTGCGTAAAAAAAAGAGGAAGTTGGAAAACTGAAACAGATGTTATTTTCTATTTTAGGTAAAAATTCACTAGTATTGGCAGCAAAACCCTTTTTGACTCATGAACTCCACTCCTGCAAAGTGATACAGCAGAGTATACGGATTCAAGAATTATGTACGCATCCAAGAAGTTATGTTCTTAGCCAATTTGAGGTTTCATCTCCCATGCTCCTAAGTCAATTATAATTAACATCTGGAGTCTTTTTAAGGCGAGCATTGTTTGTACCAACATTACTTAATCTTCTGGTTAGCTTGTGCTTAAACAGTCCACAGAGGACTGAAAAATACAGCAAGGAAGAGTTTATTTCTCGTAAAGTAACTAGAGTCTTGTTATCCTAAAGTGCTATCAGTTAATTTATGACTATCAGAGTGGGTCAGACTCTAATCAAATTGTAGAAACATTTCCAAAGTGATTATTCAATCAAATGACTAACATGGTTAATTAGGAGCCATAAACATTGCTCTGAAGTTCATCAAAGTAATGACTTGCCCAGAAAAATTACTGCTAATTAAATTGCCTGCTGCTTTCATTTCTACCTTATCTAATAAAAAGTCCAACCAATGAAATTTAGCATTGCAGTTTTAAATTGTACTAAATGCTTGACTAAGACCCAGAAGTATTTTTACTAGCTAAGCGGAGCTACTTCAAAAGAAAACATTTTAATGCAGAAATTACAGAGCAATTATATGTTTTCTTCTCCTTAAAGCATTGTTTCAAGACAACAAATGAGACAGAATTAGGCATGAAATACTTCCAGGGCAGGATCCAAGTGTTTGAGGTGACTGATTCTATCACCTCTTAGCAATTTTCAGTCTTTGAAGAAAAATGTGCCTGGATTTAGGATACACGACAAGCTTATTTCAGATTTTTAATGAAGTAATTCACATTGTGAAGTTACATCATCTCAAGAACAGCAAAGATCCTTTAAAAAAACCAAACTAACTAAAAATATGGAGACATAAAAAATTGAATTTATCTTAGAGTTCATTCTTCATTGCTCCTCTTACTAACAGCAACATAGCAGTCATCTTAAAACAATTAATATGGCCTTTATATCATGTTGGTTTGAAACCATTTTTTCCCCAGTAGGTGTTATTTTAAAATTGCATGTAATGTAGACAGTGCAGAAATTGCTTCTCATCTGGGAATGTCACAGAGAAAAATACTGGAAATAAGCTCTGCTGTGCCTTAATCAAAATACATCAAAGCTAAAAAAGCCCAAACGGACTTCCTCAGGACAAGAAAAATCTGCTACTGAATTTAACAGGCACAGGTTCTAGGTTTCATTATAGAGTAAGACACTTGAGTGGTCCCTTGGTAAGGAAGTATTTCCTATTAATTACCGTATCAGAATTTAAAGGGTTAGGTTGTCTCAGCCCTGTATAATTCAAAGTGGGTAAGGAATCCTTAAATTCTCTTTTCCAATTGTTTTTCAGAGATAAGGAGCAGGTTTCAGATCCACAACCAGAGAAACAGAATTTCCCCTGCACAGAAACAAACAGCATTTCAGCCCATGTCCCCAGTCAGGAGAGAGTTGGGGAAGACGAAGCTTCATGCAGACAACGGGATGAAGTGACTGTCTTCTCCTGAATGAAGCAAGAACTGGACACCTGAAGCAGGATTTATTCTTCAGCGGTTCCTGTGGTTCTGACCTTACATAGCCTTCCTGAGGACACGTTATTACATTACACTCTCACTCTGAATTACTTTTTAGTTCATTTTATCAACACCATCTGAACATTTGGAGGCCCACGGCACTGCCTGTGTGCATGTGACAAAGTAAAGTGCAATACAGAGGTACCGCACAACGTACGTGCATGTGCAGAGAGATGGGGGACCAAGGCTTAGAAGGTGCATACAATCTGCAACAGGGTGGGTGAAGAAGTTGAGCTACCTGCCTGGCCTTGGTCTCTGCATGGCAGTTCAGGTGAATGGTGTGGTGTACTGGTGAGCGGCTGCCTTACGCACCAAGCCTGCTTACAAGTCATAGAATAATGGAATCATAGAATCATTTTGGTTGAAGAAGACCTTTAAGATCATCGAGTCCAACTGTTAACCTAGCACTGCCAAGTCCACAACTAATCCATGTCCCTAAGCACCACATCTACATCTCTCTTAAATATCTCCAGGGAAAGTGACCCAACCACTTCCCTAGGCAGCCTGTTCCAATGCTTGACAACCCTTTCCCTGAAGAAATTTTTCCTAATATCCAATCTAAACCTCCCCTGGCACAACTTGAAGCCGTTTCCTCTTGTCCTATTGCTTGTTATTTTGGAAGAGACCAACACCCACTTCGCTACAACCTCCTTTCAGGTAGCTGTAGAGAGTGATAAGGTCTCCCCTCAGCCTCCTTTTCTCCAGACTGAATAACCCCAGATCCCTCAGCTGCTCACTGTAAGATTTGTTCTCTAGACCCCACCACCAGGGTGCTGGACACACTCCAGCACCTCAATGTCTTTCTTGTAGTGAGGGGCCCAAACCCAAACACAGTATTTGAGGTGCAGCCTCACCAGTGCCAAGTAGAGGGGCACAATCACTTCCCTACTCCTGCTGGCCACACTATTTCTGATACCAGCCAGGATGAGGTTGGCCTTCTTGGCCACCTGGGCACACTGCTGGCTGTCGACCAACACCCCCAGGTCCTTTTCCACCAGGCAGATTTCCAGCCTCCACTCCCCAAGCCTGTACCATTGGCCTGGCGTTGTTGTGACCCAAATGCAAGACCCAGCACTTAGTCTTGTTGGATCACATACAGTCGGCCTTGGCCCATCAATCCAGACACTTGAACTCATCTTGAAGTCACTCAAGCTCATCGAACACCTCAACTCATACATTAAACTTGTCTCCCTCCCTACAGGCATAAAATAAAGTGATGACACTAAAACTGGAACCTTCTTACTGTTTGCCCACCTACTTCTCTGATTTATACTTTATTGCCAACTAAGTCATGTTAAGAACAGAAGCAATTCCCAGTGGATACAGTCAGTCCTGTAATTTAACGTACACCATATACTCCTCAGTTGTCCTTTCGGTCTGAAAAGTAATTGCATAGGCTTTGGCTCCTATTTCAGCAATTCAGAGTTGGTATATCTCTACAAACAGACTTAACGTGCTGTGCCAATTGTCTTCCCATAGGCAAGAAACATACTGCATGCAGATCCTTTCCCTTTGTGCTACTGGGCACAGAAGGGCATGCACAAGCCCCTCGGGTAGCTGGGACCAGCCTAGCTCCCAGGTGCCCCTCACATGTGTCAGCCTGACCCTGTGCTAGACACGCTGCGAGTACGCCAGTCCTCCCTTCAGTGCCTTGCAGGGCTTCGCCAAGTACTTCCTCGTGCAGCGCAAGCATTTCTCTGGTATATGCAGAGGTGTTTGCTGCAGTGCTAGAGATTTTTACCAAGTGCAGAGACAAAGCTAGCCTTCTGAAAATAAAACGATCGAGCTAGAACACATCATACTTTTGGCCTCATACTTACTAAGGTCACGATCACGCTGCAAGTAACTGTTCACGGATTTCCAAGAGCA